TATGTATCCCAAGATTATATTTCAGTTTGAACTTCTGCTTTGCTAATAAAAGCAAGCTAGTTTGGATTAATACTTAGAATGCCAGGGGGAAAAAACACTCAAGAGGGACACATATTCCTTTGTGGATGTAAAGTTCACTCAGTGGATATGGGCACATCATATTTTTTTCTTGACCTTTTTCACAGATTATAAAGATTACGGGGAGCTGGGTTATTATACAGACAGTCCTCAACTTACAACAGTTCATTTAGTGACTGTTCAATGTCACTGAGAAAAGGGACTTATGACTATTTTTCACACTTACGACCGTTGCATCATCCCAGGGTCAGATGATGAAAATTCAGATGCTTGGCAAGTGGTTCATATTTATGACGGTTGCAGTGTCCCGGGGTTATGTGATCAGCTTTTGTGACCTTCTGACCAGCAAAGTCAATGGGGAATCCAGATTCACTTAACAGCCATGTTACTAACTGAACAAATGCAATGATTCACTTAACAACTGTGGCAAGAAAAGTCGTAAAATGGGGAAAAGTCACTTAACATATGTTTCACTTAGCAACATAAATTTTGGGGTCAGTTGTGATCGTAACTCAAGGACTACCTATACCACTTCTCAGATATCTTTACTACTTCCTCTACTGCAGTGCAAAGATGCCCTACTAGCATTCAAGGACTTCAGTGGCAAATCAGGTGGCAATTATTGCAGGAATCCTGTTTTGGACAGTAAGATCAACCATGTTTATCCATAATCTATAGCCCACTTAGCAAATATTTTCCGCAACTAAAAGACATCTATGCCAAATTTAAAATCCTGTGTAATATCTCCAGCCTGCTCCATATTGGCTGGGGAATGCTGGGAGCTGTAGTCTACACATCTTAAAGTTGTTAAGTCTGAAAAGCATTGTTCTACACATTTCAGACAGAACAGATTGTAAAAGCACGGACATTCCCTTCATGTGAAGCACTTGAAAAGAAGTGATTTCTCAAACTCTGCCCTGTGATACCGGCAGGAGGGGCTAGTCCAAGGATGATCCAGGGCCTTTTTATTTTAGGCTAGAGGCATAGAATCAAAACAGAGGCATAGAATCAAAATCACATGAAGTATTAGTATCATTTTATAAAGCCTTAGTAAGGCCACACCTGGAATACTGTATCGAGCGTTGGTCACCATATAACAAAAAAGATGTTGAGATGGTTGCAGGATTTGGGTAAGGCCAGTACACAGAAAAGAAGGACTAGGAGGGACATGATAGCAGTATTCCAATATTTGAAGGGCTGCCACAAGGAGCAGGGGCTCAATTTATTTTCCAAAGCACCAGAAGGCAAGACAAGAAATTATTTTCATGAATATGGCTGGAGACTTTCGGGGGGGGGAGGGCGGCCGTCTGGTCTGTTCTGGTTTCTGCCCGGCTTCCTGAGGTGGTGGCTTCATATAACGAGCAAGCTCGCCGACCAACCTTACTGCTGCTTGATACCACTCCTGCAATAGATTAGGGACAGCTCGATAGACACAGGCCTGAGAAAGATGATCATCTAGTCCAGACATGTCAAACACAAGGCCCGGGGGCCGGATGCGGCCCACAAAGTGGTTTCATGTGGCCCGCAAAGCCATCATGGAAACAGTGAGGGAACGGCCCCCGCTGCCTTGGCCCTGGCCCAGTCCAGCTGGGAGCCAATGTACAATTTTGTGGTGGCCATCTTGGCACTTGCCCCGGTGGACCATGCCTTGTCGCTTGCCCCGGTCCCATCCCCTTCTGCCAGAGACCCTCAGATCTGTCCCACTCCTGCCCAGGCCCCCACAGGCACCCTTGACGTGAATGATGTAGAACTGGCCACGCCCACCCAGTAGGCCACACCCACTCCATCCACGCCCACCCAGTAGGCTGCACTCACTCTGGCCACAACCACCTGGCCCCCCCAGAGCAACCGCAATGCTGATGCGGCCCTCAGTGAAATTGAGTTTGACACCCCTGATCTAATCCCTCCTTGAAGTGATGAACTAGGGACTGCTCAGGCCACTTTTCTATTCAGCCAGCCACCTTGCGAAATTCTCGTATGTATTCCAATGCGGACCTGCCGTCTTGTTTTATCTTATGAATTTGTTTCTCCGCTTTGAGGGCTATGGATGGGTCTTCAAACCTGGCTCTTAATCCAAGGAGGAAGAGGTGGAGGTTCCCCAGCTCAGGCGCTTGCTCGTTGTACAAATTGTTTAGCCACTCAAGACGCTTCCAAATTGGCTGCCACCACGTCGACCATAGCAGCTGGATTCAGGTAGAAATTGGCATTGCGATTCATGTGGGAACGTACTTGATTGAGGAAGAAGATGGCCACTGCTTTCTAATTGTACTTGCTGAAAACTGGCCACAGAATGTCCTCCCATTGTGAAGCACAATATTATAGCAAAAGGGTGCTGGCCTAGAAACCAGTGAGCTCTGACACCGCCTTAAGCATGAAAGCTGGCTGGGTGACCTTCAACCAGTCACTCTGTCTCAGCCCAACTTGCCACACAGGGTTGTTGTTGTGGGGAAAATAGAAGAAGGAAGGAGTGCTAAGCATATTTGTTGCCTTGAGTTACATATAAATAAAGCTGGAATGAAAATCAATATTATATTATATATAATAAATCATATCAGCCAGAAATCCTGTAATGGTGCAGGAAAAAGTAGAACATACCATCCTCTCCTATGTATATGAAATGGGCCTGTCCACTGTGCATTCTCTCCCCCCCCCCCGCTGCAATTTTCAAGGGTTCCCAAAATTAAGAGGCCAAAACAGGAAAAAATCCCTCTGTTAATGCAGCCTAGCACTGTGTTGGCCTTTTTGGCAGCTGCAGCACACTGCTGGCTCATATTTAGGTGATTGTCCACTAGGACTCCGAGGTCCCTCTCACAGTTGTAACATCCTAGTCACCTTCAAAAGCAAATCCATATACAACACACTGCATTAGTCCTATTATGTGTTCATGAGTTAACATTGCCCTAATTTTGTTACCCAAGCAGGGCCATAAGTGGTGTGTTAGCTGAAGACAGATGCAGACCTCCCAGCCACAACCTCTGCCTCATCTTCAAGTAGGAGCCATCACTCCAGGAGGATCCCAAGTCACAAATCAGCTTCTTCATGTTGCACACAACCTACCAGGCCTGGCCCAACTTGTTGAGTTAGGAAAGAAACACTCTCGACTCCATTTGTAGTGAAAAGGTTACTTTTACTAATAGCCAAGTGGTTACAGGAACAAGCCAGATCTAAGAGTTTGTGTGTGAATATTCCCTAGCTAAGTTTCCCTTCTCTGTTCCACCCCATGTTATTTCTCAGTGGTCCAATCACATTTGAAGATGATGTTTTGGTAACTGTTCCTCCAATGGTTGAGCAGATAGACAGACATTGCATTCCATTCCCAGGACCTTGAGATGTCAGCAGGAAGATCACTTTCAGTTTTCTCCATCTCCCCATGGCTCCCTCCCCCCATGACTTATGGCAGACTGGCATCTAGCGAAGCTCGGAAGGATGATAGTTCTGAAACAACTCCATTGACAGGAACCACCATGGCCAATTAACATATTGTGTCAATCTGTAGATTTCTTAAAGCAGTGCAACTATTTGCCAGAAAAAGAATGGAAAGGTTTGGTCTGATGTTTGCTTGAATCCAAAGCATGGTAAAATGGGGCATAATCCAGAGTGAACTAACTGAGTGACTGTGAAAGATGAAGTGGCTGATAATTGTTCCACAAAATCTTTACATATTTTTATTTATTTGGAGATGTATACATAACTTTGATACTATCAGGACTCAATATAATTAAAATAACAAAAATAATATAGAATGTAATAATAAACAGTATCAAAAGGCAATAAAATACAACCGGAAGGATGTGTTGTGATAAAAGAGGGATGTGTGTGTTGCATTGATATAATGTGATGTTTGGCTTCTTAGCACATTATCTTAAGCCAATATAGTTTGTTTGTTTTATATATATACAGCATTGTTTCTGTAGCCCAGTACTCCACCTTCAACTGTATCCTGGTAACTAACATAACAACCTCTAACTACAGTGAATCCAGTCAAATGTAGTTTCTTCATACATCACGATTAAGGTATAGCAAAAGTACAATTTACAAACTTAAAAAACAAAGTCTGAGCAAACAAATTTATAAAATTTCTGACCTTCACATTATCAAAGACCATAGTAAGTCCCACTTATATTGTCACAGCGGCAAAACCATACCCCAAAAAAGTAAAGTGTGCAATAGTGGCGAATATCTGTAGCTCAGGTGTAGGATGAGGGTGAAGCTTCGTTCTCCCAGCTTGTGGGTTGGTTTCCGAAGGTGTCATTACCAGACCAGGTCACATCTAGGTCACATCTGCGTTTAGGGGATGTCTGTGTCAGTGCTTCTGCGGTTTTTGAGCCTGGAAACCTCAATCTTCCAGCCTCTGCTCCACAAATATTTAGGCGCTTTAAGGATAAAAGCGCCAGCAGCTTGGATTAGACCTGGAAGCAAATTAGCAACTAGTGAAACTTCTTAGCATCGCTTTCAAAAGTCCTGTGTAGTAATCTGCTGCTGGGATTTCCTAATCGATCTTGGGCTTCTTCTTTCTCTACAAAGATGGTTGGTTCCTTTGCCTGCGGGAGCGCAGAGAAGTTGGCACTTTGCCCCAAGAGTTTTCAGGCTACGTGACTATCCTTGCCCTTTTTTCTTATTTTTTTTTATGACAGGAAAGGGGCTGGGAAAATGCTGTTTACCGTTATGATCTCACTTCGCAAAGTAGTAAAATGGCCGTTTCCTTTATCAACAATTAAGACTAGCCCTCTTTCAATGTTTTGATTTAATATCAACCAAACCCCGCCGACCGCAAATAACACAAACAGCGCGCTTCAACCATCTCTCTTCAAATGATGGGAATCGCGCATGCCCGGCGTTCTCGTTAGAGAGGAAGAGGCAGTTGAAAGTGGCTGCAGCCGCTCCGGATTAGGACAAAGGAGCGGGGTGGGGCTGACGCTGTGCAAGTCAAAGAGATCGGTGGGCGGGGTTGCTGGTAAGCTGGGGCTCTTAAACGAGGCGAAATTGCGCGTTGGCTGCGCAGTGCTTGCGAGTCCTCCTTGTGCCGTTGCGATGGCCGGTGTGTCGAGGTATAGCCTGGGCGGCATCAAGGCGCTCCCGCTGGGGGCTTCGCAGCCCATTGATCTGGGCTCGCTGCGGGGAAAGGTGTTGCTGGTTTCCAACGTGGCTTCGCTCTGAGGCACAACGAGCCGGGACTTCACTCAGTTCCGTGAACTGCAGCGGCGTTTCGGCTCTCAAGGTCTCACCGTCCTGGCTTTCCCCTCTAACCAGTTTGGACACCAGGTAAGGAGGTATCCGCAGGCGACAAGTCTCGACGGGAGAGAGCTCGTTCGGCTGCGCCTGCGCCTAGGGTTGCCAGGTGTCCACTATTTGAGTGGACAGTCCACTTTTTTCACATTATGTTCACTATTTTTTTTTTCACAAAATAGTGGACATTTTTTTTTTATTCAAAAGCTTTATGATGAAATGGTACGTAATCTAAAGCTGTACAGTCTACTTTTTTTACTACTTAAACCCCCCCCCCCGCTTGTCCGCTATTTTTTGGAAGCAGACCTGGCAACCCTACCTGCGCCGGTAAAAAAAAGACAGCCTGGAGCTAGTGTGGAGCAAGTCTTTGAAAGCTGAGCGGTACCACGGCTCGGTTGTGTGAATGGTCGCAACCCTAGGCTTATAGAGCCTCGCTTTAGGGGTGGTAGCGTGGACTCTTCAAACTATACCTACTGTAGCTGGAAACAAAGACTATGGCATGTTTGGGGATGTTTAAAAAGCGCGCTAGAGTAGTTTGAAGCTTTTTTTTTTAAAAAAAAGTTACTTCCATGTTTCCCGAAAGTTTCCTCAGATATAAATAAACCCATTTGTAAATTTAGTAAAACGAATGCAGATATCAAAGGGGGGGGGGGTCCGTTGCCTTCGCTTCTCTTGGAAAGGCTCGTCCTTAACCAAGGTCCCCTCATGGCGTGGGAGTGTTACGGTGGGGAAGGGCGTGTGACTATTTTTCTCTGTGTGATGCATATTGAACTGAAGTCCCAACAGGAAATAATGCGCAATTAATTCTGAGTGTGTGCCTTGGAGAACTGTTTTACCCTCTCGGAGGAAAAGACATAGTCCAAGGACTCTTGCACAATTGCCTTGCTTTCCATATACAGTTGGTCACGTTTGAAAGCAAGGCTTATCTACTTTCCAATACAGTCCAGTGAAATTATGCAGTGGAGGGTCTAGTCATAATTACAACCATTCCCATTTCTCCGTTGTACAAATTCTCTACGGGAAAAAAATGTTTTACAGAATTTAGCCGCCTGCAAGTTGGTCTGTAGACCAGGGGTCTTCAAACTTGGCCCTTTTATGACTTGTGGACTTCAACTCCCAGAATTCCTCAGCCAGCGTGCCTGGCTGAAGAATTCTGGGAGTTGAAGTCCACAAGTCATAAAAGGGCCAAGTTTGAAGACCCCTGATCTAGACTCTAGAATGAGATTTATACAAATTACCAATTACTTGAATTAGAGATGAGAAAGGGAAATCTGTTTCCAAATTAGTTTTTCTATGAGTTAACGTTCTGTGTAACTTTAATATCTAGATTTGATATATGCAGGATCTTCTTTTGGACTGGGAATGAGACAGGTATAGTGAAGAATAGCCTCACCAGGAATTAACATATATGCTTCACCTTCACAATTGTCATTGTTCAAAATATGTGGATTGAGGAAACTTACAACATTCAGGGCTTTTTCTCAAAAACATTGCTGTGCCTTCTGTTGAACAAATAAAAGCTGTTGTTTCTCCCTCTGTAGGAATTTTAAATTTGTTGTATGTAGTCTTGCTCTGGCTCAGCCATTTTGACAAGTCTGTATAAAGGGATGAAATGTATCAAACTTGAATATGAAGCGAACTGTAGCCCAAGGATTCCAACCTAAATGATTCCAATGCTGAATTGTGCTGGTTTCTATCACTTGCCTGTGGAAATTCTCGATAAGGGATTCTGGTAGCTGCACTACGAGGAGTGTGTAGGAGAATTTATACCAAAAAAATGACATAAGTCTGCAAAAATAGGGTCTGAGATGTGAAAGTACATGAATAGAGAGATGCAGATAGTAAGGATAGATGAAAGTAGTGTTAGTGAAGTTTGTACTTGGCAACATCGCTTGACTTGTATCACTGGAGTAAATTACTTGGCTTGATATTTTTTTCTTCAGGTGTGGAGTACAGGAGAAGTGTTAGTACTTGGTAGTTCTATTGCATTAGGCAGAATCACTAACTAAAATATTGTTTCTGCACAGCATTTGATCTCATAAGCTGCATAACTACCATAACATATAAAACTCTGGAAAAGCACCTGTAGGTGAAATAATTGATGTTTTCTGGATAAAAATATTTGCACTGCAACATAGCTGTTAATAGAAGAAAAAGGTGACTGTATTGTGAAACCATAATTGGCAGCTCTACTAATGCTATAATGATGATGTCTGGATGTAAATCATATGCCTTTCTGCCTTGTTACAGGAAAATGCCACCAATGACGAGATCCTGAATTCCCTGAAACATGTCCGTCCTGGCAATGGATATGAGCCCAACTTCCCCGTGTTTGAGAAGTGTGAAGTTAATGGGGAAAATGCTCATCCTCTTTTCAAGCTCCTGAAAGAATCCTTGCCTATCCCACATGATGATCCTGTGTCCCTGATGACCGATCCAAAGTTCATAATTTGGTCCCCTGTGTGCCGCAGTGACATCGCATGGAATTTTGAAAAGTTCCTCATTGGTCGTGATGGGGTGCCTTTCAAACGTTACAGCAGAAAATTTGAAACTATCAAGATGAAGGATGACATTGAAAAGCTCGAAGTCGTTTGGCAGATCTATCCTAGTCTAATTTAGAACTATTTTGAAGGGATGTAGAGACGAACCAGATCCAAAAATTTTCACATATTACGATGGGTATTACATCCAAATTTACATTGAAAGGTACAATTTGATTTAAGTATGTAGATCTTTTGTTTAATGTCTTCTATCAACGAATATATAACATCGTCGTTTCGAGCTCTGAAATGCAAGAATCTATTAAGTTGCTGTGATATAAACTAAACCTATAACTCTTCCTTAAAAGTCTTAAGGGTTACTTAGAACAGTCATTGGTCTGAAGTTCATACACATTATGGGTGTCATTGACCTCTGATGTAGCAGAGACAAAATCTGTATTTTCAACTAATCTGCAAATCATTCAAATGTAGGGGAATAGAACTGAAGCGTACTTAGAAAAAATTCTACAATGTGAAGTAGCCTTAAATGTGGTGCCCTTTTCTACATTTCTTCTTTTGCTGTGGTTCACTAACTGTTCTGCTGGTAAGATTCTACTCTCCATCAAAATTTTATTGATGATGGCGCTTTTTCTAAATACTTGATAAGCACCTGATGTACCTTTAAAATTTTGCATGTGAAGTTGTAAATTATAGCAGGTAGAACAGTTTGGGATCGGCTGCCTTCAATGCTACCATGCACCAATAAAATCTTGAAATTATGTTAAATATTCAGTGTCTCTGCTTTCAAACTCTATTTCAGTCTGATTTATATTTTACAGTTTTTGTAGCCCATCCAACCTTGAGATTCCAGGCAGCTCAACAGTATAAATATCACTGAGGAAAAATAACAAGCGGCAACTGTCAAGAGGGGCACTATAAAACATTCATCTGAGGTTGAAAGCCTGGGGGACAAGGAGGTTTTGATAGCCTCTCCCTCCTAGCCTTTTATAAGGTAATGTGAGACTGGGTAGAGAGCTCCAGAGAAGTGGCCCCTAAGAGGAAACGTCTACTGCTTCGTTCACATCCTGTTAAGCATGTTTTGCAGGGTGGTGGTGGGGCAAGCTCTTTAAAGGTATTACTGGCTGCCTAATGCAGCTGTAAAGAGTTTTATAGGTGATAAACTGAGAACGAGAAATTTGTCTATTGGGTGATTTGTTTCTTTTTATTTATTTATTTATTTATTTATTTGATTTGATTTATATCCCGCCCTTCTCCCAACGGGACTCAGGGCGGCTCACAACATATTAAAAACATTAACGCATTTACAGCCCCTCCAAATAAAACCAATTAAAACCAAATATTTGAAGTTGTGCTATTTAAAAATTGTTCTTAAAAATAAACCCGATTTAAAATCCTCCCTAGGCCAGGCCCGCTTGCTGGAAAAGCCATGTCTTGAGGGCGCGGCGGAAAGTAAGGAGATCCGGAATCGTCCGGATCTCGGGGGGTAGTTCGTTCCAGAGGGTGGGGGCACCCACAGAGAAGGCCCTCCCCCTGGGGGTCGCCAGCCGACATTGCTTGGCCGACGGCACCC